GAGAAACTATTTGTTCTGTAAGCCTTCACCTGAAGTACAATAAAAAAAAATTTATACATACAAAAAAAAAATTGTTGCTTACAAAAGATACACCTAAATTATAGTACACAGAAAATCTAAAAGTAAAAGATTGGAAAAATGTACACCATGAAAATATTAAGCAAAAGAAAGCTCATGAAACTACATAAATATGAGACAAAGTAAATTAAAATGCAAGAACCATTTCCAGAGATAAAAAGGCACACTCAAAAATGAAGTATGATCAACTCACAAGGAAGATGTAATAGTCTCAAGTCTGTATGCACTCAATAACATAACATCAAAATAGCCAAAGAAAAATTAACCAAATGAAAAGGAGGATTTATCATGAGAGTAAGAAACATTTACACACTCATTCAATAGTTTACAGAACAGGCAAATATTTAATAAAATTGAATAAATAATTAATAAAATTGAATAATGTACTGCTGAAGGTACATTATATAGTTACTCATATGTAGTGAAACTGAAGCAATCTATCTTGAAATCACTTTGATCTAGTAATTTCACACTTAGACATAATCAGATACACAGAAAGATTTAACATCATTAATCAAATCACATATTATTTTTTATGGTGAAAGACTTCAATATACACATCCAAAAAGCTCAATGACTTCCAAGCTGGATAGACTCAAAGAGATTCACACCAACCAAGAGAAAACGAGAGAATACTGAAAGCAGCAAAGGAGAAGAGATACATCATGTTCAAGGGATCCTCAATAAGATTAATAGCTGATTTCTCATCAGAAACCAGGGAAGTCAGAGGCAGTGGAGTGACAAATTTCAAGTCCTGAAAGAAAAATACTGTCAACTAATTAAAGGATTTCCAGATAGACATGGGTATAAGGTGAGAGAATCCATTACCAGTAGACATGCCCTACCAGAAATATTAAAGGGAGTCCTTCAAGCTGAAATGAAGTAAACTAGAGAGTAAGTGAAATACAAGGATTTGGAACTTGCCAGCCTTCACAACTGCATAGTAATTTCCTTGTAATAAATCTCTCCATATATATATTTATGGAGCCCTGGTGGTGCAGTGATTAACAGCTTGGCTGTTAACCAAAAAGGTGGGGAGTTCAAATGCACCACCTGCTCCTTGGAAGCCCTATGGGACAGTTCCACTTTGTCCTGTAGGATTGCTATGAGTCAGAATCGACTCAACAGCAATAGGTTTGGTTTTCTGGTATATACATATTTATGTATATACATCACTGGTTTTGCTTCTCTAGAGAACCCAGCCTAAGACAAATACTTTCAATAATGGACAGACCACCTATACAGAAATCAATAAGGAAACAGAGAACATGAACAACACTGCAAACAAATTAGACCTAATAAGTATACATAGTATACTCCATCCACAAACTG